TTTGTCTCCTTAAATAAAATTTTAAAAAAAGTTTTTTTAGATAACTCATGAACATGAGTGCTAAAAGAGACCCTGAAGAAGTTATAATGAAAAACTAATCAAAAAAGGAATAATAAAAGCCTAAGTGTAGCTCACTTAACTGACACCTTAATAAACAGATTCTAGTCCAACTGGAATGACTTCCAAAAATTCACTTCCAGCAAGGCACAGTGGCACACACCTGTAATCCCACCACTTGGGAGGCTAAAGCAGGACAACTGCCATGAGTTGGAGGATACATAGTGAGTTCAAGGCCAACCTGGACTACACATTGAAACCTCTTTCAAAAATTGTCACCACTCCTAGTCAGTATGTTCTGGAGACATTGGAGAGAGCAATTACACAAAAGAAAAAAAAAAATAAAAAGAATAAGGATAGGAAAGAAACAAGTTAAGCTAATATTATTCCCAGATAACATGATAAGCTACATAGCAGACCCCAAAAACTCCATCAAAAGACTTATAGTTTTAGTAAGTAAATTCAGTAGCTTAGCTGAACACAAAGTGAACACTAAAAATTCGATACAATCCTGTACACAAACAACAGACTCACTGAGCAAGAAACTGGGGAGACTATACCCTTCACAACAGCATCCAAAAAAATGGAATACTTGGGAATCAACCTAACAAAAGAAGTAAAGGAACTATAAATTGAATATTATAGTGCTGTAAGGAAGGAGATCAAAGAGAATATCAGAAAATGGAAGGGTGTCCCTTGCTCACGGATAGGAAGAACCAACACAGTGAAAGTGGTCATGCTCCCAAGATTGTTATACAGGTTGAATGCCAATCAAAGTACCTGACTTGGTCACTTTTCTCTCATTGCTGGGACAAATATATGACATCCAAATTAAGGGAAGGAAGGGCCTATTTAGCTCAGAGTTTGTGGAGGTTTCAATCTGTAATCAGCTGGCTTCACAGCAGAATGGTATGGCAGAGGGGCAATCATTGAAGGCAGCAGAAGATAGCCAAAGCAACAAGAGAAAAAAGGAAGGGGGAGAGCGAGCCTCTTTTCTTCCCTTATATTGTAAGCAGGCTACTCACCCCCAGTGTGTGTAGCACTCACACTATCATTATGTCCTCCTCTTGCACAGGCTCAGGATGTTTACAAAGTGAGGATCCTAGCCTCTTGTTGAGTCACTTAAACTTCTAAACTTCTCAAGCTGACAATGAGCAACACCCTAAAAAGGTAAGGGTATGTCCTCTACACCCCAGGATGTAGAATTGCTGAGTAATTTAGTTAAACATCTGAACTTCTCAAGTTGACACAATGTACCAACCATTACAATACCAATGATATGCCTCATGGAACTAGAGAAACCATTTCTAGAATTTATCTGGAAGCAGAAGAGACCTAGAATAGTGGAGGCAGTCCTGGCCAACAACAAAGGCAAGGCAGGGGGCATCACAATTCCTGACTTGAAATTATACTACCAAGCTACTGTGATAAAATCACCATGGTACTGGCAAAGGGACAGGACTGAGGACCAGTGGAACAGACTGGAAGATGCAGACATGACTGTAAACATACTCAGTCACCTTATCTTTGACACACATGTTCACTGGAAGAAAGATAGCTTCTTTAATGAATTGTACTGGAAAAACTGGCTCTCAACATGCTGAGGACCAAAACTGGGCCCAAGTCTATCACCATGCACTAAACTAAAGTCAAAATCAATCAGGTTGATTTTCTCAAGTAAAAATCTTGAAGATACCGAGGTAAGCAGAGATTTCATGTACAAAACCTGGACAGCATAAGAAACACTTCAAGGAATCAACAACTGAGATCTCATCTTACTAAAAAGCTTTTGTACATCAAAGAAGATCACCAGTAGAAATACATGTCTGAATACTTTCCTAAATTCCAGTATAATTATTTTGTATCCACTTACACCAACATAAACATTATTACAACTATAATTACTACTTAACAAGAGCTAAATATAAGCCTCACATTGTGCAAAATAATTTCTTACTATTTTCTATAATCTCTTGTACATTGAAGCATATTTTATATCTTAATGTATTCTTCTTTAAGATGTATTTACTTTTTCCTATTGCTAATTCTCAAGCCATAATGATGTGGTTCCATTTTTCTCACGTATTTCAAACTTCGTTCCATAAATTGTATAAGCTTTTTGTATTTCCCTCTCTTAAGTAGTCATTTTAGACTCTTGGAAAAATTAACTTCTCATATTCAGCATTCCTAAAGCATTTTGTTTATATTGTAAATGTGAATTGGGATATGCCCTGAGGGAAGCAGAATAATTATCTACTCACATCAGTGGTTCACAATTAAGATTTTCGAATTCTGGAAAACCCTGAGACATTAGACATTCCTCCCAACTCATTGAAATCAGTACCTTTAATTACCTAGATACAGATATTGATACTGATATGGATATAGCCTTTTTTTGAGACAAGTTCTTTCTATGCAGTTCAGTCTGACCTCACACTCTCAGCAACCCTCCTACTTTAGCCTCCTGAGTGCTAGGATTATAGGTATGTGCCAACATGCTTGGTTTCAGCGCCTTTAATTATAATGAGATCATATATCAAAATTTATGTACCTCTGACTCCCCCAATACCTAACCCAAACTTTTTCATATAGCAAACAAGCTTGCTTGTTTGCAGTAAAGGGAATTTATCTGTGGTAAGTAAGTACAGTTATTGGGTATGTTTAATTTCTTTTTTTTTTTTTTTTTTGTTATCAGTACCGGGGATCAAACTCATGACCGCCTGCTTGCAAGGCAGGTGCTTATGCCACTGAGCTAAATCCCCAGTCCCCAGGTATGTTTAATTTCTAGTAGAACAAAACAACTTTAAATTTCTTTTTTCAACAAATACTATTTTACAGTATCACATAGCTTAGGCTTCTTTTCTAGCTATCTTCCCATATAATCTGATTAATTTCTATAAAAATTCCTATACTGATTAAGCCCTTTTCTTTTGAGAAGCTCTAAGATTTTCTCATCAATCCTTATCTCTAAGATAAATAAATGGAGATAGCAGGAAAACATGGAACCATGAATCTGTAATCCATATGAAGTCATATAATTCACAAATTCCACATAGCAAATACTCCATTTTAAATTCTCAGTTTATGTGCATTTTATCATAAGCTTCATTTTTTTTCTTTTATTGGGGATGGAACCCAAAGGTCCCTTACCACCGAGCTATGCTCTTTACGGTTTTTATTTTTTACTTTGAGGCAGGGTCTTGCGCCCAGTCTGATCTCCAACTTTTAAGCCTACTGCCTCACAATCAGGAATAGTTGAGATTACAGTGACTTGACATGTGCCAGATTTCTTTTTCTTTCCTTCTTTAAAACAGCATCAGGCTGGCCTCCAATTTGTAATCCTGTACCTCAGCTACCCAAATAATTGAGAGTACAGGCACATGTAATCATGCCAGGCTTAGAAATTATTTCTGAGTCTACCAAAAGTATCCAATTTACCAATTAAATCAGGATATGCTAATCTGTATCAAAAATATTTGTTGTTTACTTAAAAAAGCAAACATTTGAAACATTTCAAAACATTTTGCAACATGCAAAACAAAATATAAAAATAATTACTCTAGCCTCCTAATTAAAAACTGGTTATTGAGCACAGATCTGCTTTAGCTAACAAATACGGACTGTAAAATATTTAAGAATTAAATAACATTTTTTTAAAAATACTAACAATCAAATACTAACAGACCAGGCCAATATGACTGATTGGTCAATCCTGGTCATCTTAATCACTTTTGCCAGTAATTGGTCAAGATTTATAGTCCAAAACTGGCTAATGATGTGAAGGAAGCTGCTAGATTCTTTCCTTCAGGATAACAGGGTAACAGGGGTGGCCTCTTTTGCCTCCCAAGCAGTTTTATTTGCACACAGGATGTTGTCTAATTGAACCTGCCTAGTTAAGAGAGCTATACCACTGTCTTGAGACTATGAAACAAAGACCAAGAAAATTTCCACAATTTTGACTCTTCACCTAAACATAACTGAGTCTCATAGCTTCTTACATGAAATAAATGTTGTATTTGTCTAAGTCACTGAAGATCAGATATTTTTCCCCGAAACTGACAGCATCTTAATGGATGTAGATTATTTATTAAACAATAATAACTTCTGTAATCTAATATTGAGACAACCCAATGAAAATTACTCTTTTTTTGCTTGCTTTTACAGATTAGAAAACTAAGGATTAATGAAGTTACATAGTTAATAATAACAAAGTTAAAATTTGAATCTAGACCTGATGTGAAAAATAAACTCTTTTAAAAATATACAACATAAAATTCTCTTTCTTCCTTATTTACAGCTCTTCTTAAAAGAAAAACAGTAATAACAAAGAGTAAGTTGTGTTATTAGCTAATGGAATTTTGGGGGAGAGCTAAGGAATATTCATTATTCTTGTAATTTTATCATAAGGCTACAAAGCCTTCAACTCTATTTTATATTAAAAGTTATATGGGGAAGACAAAAATCTGTCTATATATCTTCATAAAGTTCCAGAATGTCTAACAGAATCACCAAAAAAGTGAAATGGATTTTAAATTTAATAGTTTTCCAAGAGTTAAAAAATATGGAGTCACTGGTGTGGTGGGGCCTGTAATCCCAGAACTCAGGAGGTTGGAGGCAAGGGGATCATCATGAGTTTGAGGCGGGCCTGGACTATATAATGTGTCTAAATAAATAAATAAATAAATAATTGCAAGTATTTCCTAAGCTATAATTTCCTCATTTCATTATTCCCCAAACTAAGTATCTGTCAATATAAAAACCACAAAGTTAACACTTCCTCAATTCTCATCTCTTCACAGAAACTGATACAGTCCATATCTTGATAACAAAAATCTACTATCTAAGATCAGCAAGGTCATTTCTTGTAGAGAAACTTATCAGAACTAGGTTTTCAAAAGCTATCTTGTCATCTCAACTAGACTGAACTAATACATGCAACTTACCTTCCCACATGCTCTGCAATGATGCCTTCTTTTGGTGAATGTAAACCGGGCTTCACATTTCATGCAATTTGGAGCCTGGGAATCTGGTACCCATACTGGAGCTACTTCACCCAGTGTGGTAAATGGTTTTCTGGCAGAAATTCCAAACTGACCAGCTCTCAAATCATTATCTGGGCTATCTGGAGCTAATGCAAGGCATGGTCTACTGGAGGCCTCATAATTTTCTAAATGTTCCCCATTTGTATCAGCAATAGAGATGCTTGCCAAAGACACACTGGTTGCTGAGTTTTCCCCTAGTTTTGCTTTTGCAAGAACATCATTTTTGTTTTTAGTATTATTTCCACTGTTTGTGGGAAGATCATTTTGTAAATGGTCTGATAATGGCTTTGGAATTTGAAGTTTAAGATTAGAAGGTTGCTTGGGTCTTGCACCACCAAAAGGAACACTGACAGATTGCAGATTTGCTACTATCTTGGGAGAAGACTGTGCAACAACTGATGGAACTTGACTACAGAAATTATGTAAATAATTTTTCTTCATTTGGTCATCAATGCTATTTAAAAGTAGTCCACTCCCTTCTGTAGCCTCATTTCCTCTCTGTTCATAAATGTTTGAGTAGCATTCTGACTTGCTCTCCTCTATTTCTTTTTCTTCTGTCACTGAATCTTCTTTGGAAGGTAAAGTCTTTGGAACGAAAGAAACAACTGGGCTCTGCATTCCATAGGAATCACAATCATTAGATAAAGAATGTGCTGCTGGTGAATCTGTAACAATGGAGAAATCACGTTCTTCACTTTCACTTGTGCAAGTTCCTCTTAAATCTAAACCTGCAACTGCATCTGCCATTCCAACACACTCTCCTACATTATCACCATTAGTATTGTCAGGCTGATTAATCTGTAAAAACTTCTCACTTTCTTCATTTACTTGGCTATCACTCATCTCATTTAGTGCAGTCAATTTCCAATTACTCATCTCCTGAGATTCAGAGAAATGCTCTGTCATAGTAAGTTCTGTAGTACCAAGAATTTCTTCATGTTCATAATGTTCATTTTTATCAGCTCTAACTTCATTAGGCACAAGGCAATCCGAAAATTGTTCAGAGTTATCCCTTCCAGGCATGTCCGGTTTGAGACACAAAGGTAAACCAGACTGGAGTGATTCTTCAGTTCTCTCCTCTGCTGGCTCTTTTTTGGTCAAAATCTCCTCACTCAAGTGGGAAAAGGAGTTTAGATACTCTACATCTGTCCGAGGAGAGCTGATTTTGCCAATGAAGTCCTCATCTGGTATACAGTCCTCTTGCTTTTTAACAGTAGGACCTCTATCTGTTTCCTGGGATGAGATCACTGAATCAACCGTTAAACTTGTAATCACAGACACTGAGGAGCCACTACCTGTATTTTCATCATCCTTTAATTGTGAAGTGGAACAGACACTGGTTAGACTATCAGATGATGTTGTATACAGACGATTAACAGAACCTCCTTCTGTTTTGGATCTGTTCAATGGATCCATTTGTTTCTCTGAGTTCATATCTTTGTCAGTGGACCCATTCATACTAAAGCTAAATTGATCAGTTTGCCTGTTTTCATTACCCAGTGAACAGCTAAAAGAATCCATAAGGGGTTGACTATTATAATTATTACAATCCTGCAGGTCACTTTGTAATGTCCTTTTATCACAATTATGCATGACAGCTACAACAAGAACATTCTTCTCATCTGGAAGACAAGTTAAGTTTCCACATTTCTTCTCTCCCGCTTCAACAGCACTGTACTGATCATCTCGATTATAGTTTCTCTTAATCAACTGCTCTTCTGCAACAGCATTTTCATCAATCCACATTGTGGCAATCTCTGAATTTAGACTACAGTTCTGTCCATTAGCAAAATGATCTTCGCCCTCCTTGGTTAGAGGTGAATGAGTCAGGGAGAAGACTTTCAACTGTGGCTGTGATTCATTAGAAACTCCAGGTTCATTCACACTAGCCAATGCAGGATTAAATGACAGTCGGTGAGAAGAGGGATCTAGAATTTTATTCCACTTTGCATCCAATAGCGTAGGGGAAATTGTTTCATCTAAAAAAAATAAGTTGCCACAGTAAGTTTGCTGATAACACTGAAAATCTACGACTGAGGTAAGCAACATTTCCAACCATACTCTGAAAATAAAATATATTCCCTAGGATATGTATCTAATTTTTAAGTAGGACTAGGAAAATATATTAAAACAATTCCCTGTAATTATGTCATCAAATGGTAGTATCTCAGAACATTTCAAACAACAAAGAAGACTTCTCCATTAATCTGATAATATAATTACACTGACCCCCAAAACCAGGACTGGGGAAATACCCTTGGACTGTCTGCACGCAAAGCAAAATACATACTACTAGAAAGAGGTGCAGTAATAAAGATATAATTAAGTCAGGAGGAAAATGGAATTTTTGCGGATAATGAATAGTTTGTAATCTATATCATGATAGGTATGTGGGTTTCATGGATAGCTCCATTTTTAAAAACTGTATAATTAACCAGGCATACGGGTACATGCCTGAAGTCCAAGTTACTTGGGAGGTTGACGGGAAGGATCTCTAGACCTCACAAGTTCAAAAGCAGCTTGTGCAATACAGTGAGGCCTTTGCTAAAAATGCAAAGACAGTACAATTAAGATCAATTTATTTTAGTGAATATAAAGTTTACCTTCATAAAAGCAAATAAAGGGAGCAAGAAACAGACAAATGTTATAAATGAAATTAAAATGGTAGAATGTCTGTCACCACTGAAGGTAAATGGTGGGTGCACTGGAGTTTTTATAATATTCTCTTTAACTGGTATATTTTAAATTTGTCTATTTTAAGTTTATTTATTAATTCCCTGAAATCAATGTCATTACTATATATCCCACTATAGGTTTTTTTAAAAGTTTGCTATTATAGGATGTGAAATTCTGCTCTAACCATGTCACAGTATATTATTAATTAGGTTCATATTTATATTATTCGAAGACATTTGGCAAAGCATATTCATTTGTCTTATTAAAAGCAGTTTATACTCTAATTTCATATAAAATTTCTCTTTACTTTTTAACAGATCATAACTATATAGCTAAGTTATTTTCCCAATTATGTGATTGTACATGTCTGAGTAAATTATGGAAATAAGAAACAATGCACTTAGTGTCTTTCTTATTTTCCCCCAATTACTGATAATTATGACTCTGAAATGATGCAGCTACATTTGAAACATTAATCTTCAAAGCACCCATGGCAGTTTGCTCATATCTTTATTAATGCATTACACTGTAATGCAAAAACTTATTTACCTTTGTTTTCATCCACCGAATGATTTCTGAAGGTAAAAACAATTTCATTCCATCAATGTAAATTCTCATTTTGTAACATCCCTAGCATGTAGCAGGTACACAATACACATATGTTAAGTGAACAGCTACTACAGTATAGGAACTGAGTTTGCGAAATATGAAAATTAAATTGACATTTTCTGTCTCTGTATAGAATCTACCTGGGACAACAAGATATAAATACAACATATGCAAATATCTAATTAACAGTACAGAGTAGCATATGTATTTGAAAACTATTATATAGATATAAAAAATAAATTCAGAAGAGAAAAATTTTACAAAATAAGGTAACATGAATTCATGGAGGTGGGAGGACTGGGCTAGGCTTCAAAAACGTTATGTTTAGAAAACAGGAACAAGCAAAAGCATAGCCCCCAAACATAAGAATTTAATATAGCATTAAGCATATCAGTTTGGGCTAAGAAAATAAGTAGCATAAGGAAGTAGTGAGAAGAAACTACAAAGGGCAGATAATAGAAGTCATAAAACATCAGATTATACAAAGATTGAATTTAGTATCCTCTGAGTTATTAAATTCTAAATTTAAATCCAAGCTTGGGCTAGAAGAAATTTGAGATTTAATAATATGAATTCCTTGGAAATATGATTTCCCAAGCTGGTTTCTAGAAATCAGAGATAAGCTTCTTATGAGAATAGTTTGTAACATTCAAATAAGAATGATCAACTACTAAAATTTTCACTATTTAAGCACCTCCTACATAGGCATACTGTTAATTACCTAGCATCATTATAGTACATTTGTGGTACGGTCCTAATTTGAAGAAGAAATACAAAACAAGAAATCACTTCACTTAAAACACACTCTCTGAGGCTGAGAATTCAGCTCAGTGGCACAGTGCCTGCCTGGCAAGCATGAGGTTCTGAGTTTGATTCCTGGTACTCCCCCTACATTTCCCAAGGTACCAGGTTATATGCTACATACTGACATCAAAATGCAAATGGTAAGTGATATTGAAATACTGACACTAAAAAACATAGTTCAGACAAAAAAAAAACCCAAAATTACAAAGAAGAAATGGGTTTTGGAAAATCATTCTCCCTCCAAAGGAATTATATTTTGTTAACAAATACTATACACTTACTAAGACATTTTCACAGATTCAACAAAAATTTACTCTAAAGCAATTATATACAATATACTCTATTAGAATCTACAGAAATGACAGAGTAATGTACAAACTAATAGTTTTAGTAGAGTCAATATTCGGGAAGCATATCATTTATATGATTAGGTACACTGTGTGTGCAGTAAATTAAGTTTCTGTAATATATAGGGGGCAAAACTGAAGAAAGTACTAAGAAATTTATTTGTATAACTATTTGTACCTCAGAAAATACCTCTTTTTGTGGTGTATACAAACCTCATCTGGGTCCAATAAAATCCTAAATCATTAGATTTTACATTTACATTAATCTGCAATGAGCTTAGGGATACTGGGTCACTGGTGGTAAAGCACAAGAAAAGATGCTTCCAGATAGCTTTACCCTTATCTCCGCGATCCTATATTCTATGTAAGATTTGTTCTAGTCTAAGGTCTGGTGTTCTGGGGGAATGATTTGGGGATGACAATGTGAAATATGTACCGTGTCAATCCCTGATTTACATGTTTTGAAATTTTGTTGTAGTTTTCTTCTTCTTTTCTTTTTATTCTTGGAATAAAATGAATTTGGAAAAAAAAGATTTCATAAAATGTTTGTTGTTGGCTCTTTTTAAAGATACGAAGGCACATAAAGAACTGTAAGTGAAATAAAAAAGATCTGTTCTAGTCTAGACTCAAAGTAACAAAATCAAAACTAATCTCTCTTCCCAATGCTATCAAAGACTAACATGAACAACTGGTGACAATAAGGTTTGGAGACCACTACTAAAATCTTGGGACTTAGATGGATATATGTCAGTTTGTAAAACTGTCGCATGGCATTTCTGTTAGGAAGTAGAAAACACAAATTCAGAAAGAAATGTAGGGGAAAAAACTTCCCTAAACAAAGGCAATCTTAACTGAAGCTTGAGAGTGTAATTTAATTAACCATTTTAACCGTTAACTATAAAATGAAAATCTTTCAAAAATAAGGTTTAAACTAGTTGTGCTGGCACATGTCTATAATCCCAGCACTCTGGGAAGCCAGCCTGGGAAACTCAGTGACTTAGTAAAATACTGTGTCAAAAACAAAAAATCCAGAGCTAGGGGTGAGATTCAGCTTACTGCAAAGGCCCACGATTTAAACCCCAACACCACAAAAACAAACTAATAATGTTAGGTTTAATACATATCTTTACTTTAGTGGACAACCAATATGCAAGAAGCTATTTTCTTAGTGTTGGAAATGCAAGCACATACTCTAAAGCTTTTCTGGCCATAAATTGCTTGTGTTAGATAGGTTAAATTTAAATTAGAGTGTCCACTTTGCCTAGATCCTAATCCTGCCAATTTTTAGCAAGATAAAGTGGGGGAGAACTAGCTTAAACTCACTGTATGTTTGAGATAAGGGGATCAAATTTCATGGGATTGTTTTAAACAGCAAATGGAACAATCCATGTAACTATCTGGCACATAGCGCTAAAAATGTTATTTCTTCCTCAGAGTATTATTATTGTCATTAAGTCATCAGACTTGATTTTATTTCTTTCTTAAGTACTTTTATCCTCACATTGTGAATATCATAAATCAGAATATATTTGCTAATATAAGCTCTCACCTTCGTTTTGTTCAAATTCATCTAACACCTTGTCCAGGTTGTAAGCTTCTGCTTGGAAGTAATTCTCCATCAGGAGGAAACACCACTCAAGAGACTTGTTTAAACCTAAAAAGTAGATCAAATTGTTAATATAATTTATAAGTCGTAAGTGCTTGAGGATAAAATCTCTTATAAATATATGCAGAAAACAGTACACAACAAATTTGCTAATATTAATAAAGTATAGAAATGCTTAATGTCACAATCATCAAAATACAGTTGCCCCTCTATCTATCAGTTTTGCATCTGCAGAGTTCTCACAACGATGAACTTGGACATTTTTTCTTGTTCCTACCTAAACAACATAGGATAATATCTATTTACCTATCATTTACATTGTATCATGTTTTATAAGTAATCTAGATGATTTAAGCAAACCCTCCCTGTGAATCTGCAACATGTACAGCCCACTGGGGGGACAGCAGGACACCAGCCTTTTCCCATGAGTCAGCGCCACTCACAGACTGTGGAGGAAGAAAACAAGAAGTCACCAAGTAGCAAATCCTCCCTATGAATCAGCACCATACTTGGGCCACTGGAGGGATAACAAGATGCCAGCCTTTCCCCTTGAGTCAGAACCATTCGCAGACTGCAGAGGAAGAGAATAAAAAGTCACCAAAAAGCAAGCCCTCTTTGCAAATTGGTGCCATGTGCAGGCCACCGCGGGGACAGCCAGATGCCAGCCTTTTTCTGTAAGTCAGCACCATTTGTGGACTGCAAGGGAAGAGAACAAGTCACCAAGAAGCAGGCCCTCCATGCAAATCAGTGCTGTGCATGAGCCAGATGTCAGCCGCTTGTGGCATGTGAGCTAGGAAACAAGAAGATCCAACACCACCATTCCACACCACTCATCACTATAAGCCACTGGCTGATCTGGAGAAACATAGGCTGTGATAACAGCTATTGAGGTAAAATACAATTTAGTGCTTGTCCTGTTTAGTATTTCACTGACTTTGCAAGACTAAAGCCAGTAGTCTGATCATCTCTTCAGAGGGTAACAATAAACAGTGTAGTAACAATAAACAGTGGAGCAATCTTCTTCTGTAGATGATAGCCATTGTTAATTCCTTGTTTTGAAGTCCTGTATCATTTTCATTGTTTTGTTGGTTTGGGTTTTATTCTGTTTTGTTTTGTTTGATTTCATTATATTGAACGGCCTGGACAGCTATTTCAAAGATAGCAAGATATATTACAGTAGCCACTTTGGATTTACTCTTATCTTGTTTTGAAGTCCTTTACTGCATTCATTGTTTTGTTTTTACTGGTTCTATTCTGTTCTGTTTTGATTTTTTTTTTTTTTTTTTTTTTTGTCTTTTGAGATGGGTTCTATATGCAGTTCAGGCTGGCCTTGAACTCACTTTGTAGCCCAAGCTGCTCTCAAACTTGCAACAATCCTCCTGCTTCAGCCTCCTGAGAGCTGGGATTACAGGCGTGAACCACCACGCCCGGCTTCTGTTTTGATTTTTACTATGTCTAAAATTATAAGCAGCTATTTTGAATACAACAAGAGGCACTATGGCAACCATTATTGATTTCCTATTATTTTGAAATCCTGTATCACTTACACTGGTTTATTTTGACTTGCTTTGTTCTGTTTTATTTTGCTTGATTTTATTCTCCTTAAAAAATATATGAGAGGATGTGTATAAGTTATATGCAAATATTCCACCATTTTACACAAGGAATTTAAATTGTTTCTTGGCCTTGATCAAGAGTACATAAGGAATTTGAGCATTGTGGATTTTGGAGTCTACAGGGGACCTAGAAACCTCCCATAGATCTTACAGTTGCACTCTAGATCTAAATTTAGAAGGAAGACTTCATCGTTCACTAGACCATGCTCCAAAAGAAAAAAAGATGTTCAGATAGCTATTATTTTGATTAGCATAAAGTTAAATTTCTATTTAAATGAACCTTTTTTCAAATGGGAAATTATAGAATAGTTTAAGCACAAAGTAAAGGACATTAGTTCCAAAAGCCAATGAAGACTGATTATTCTTTGTAAATGTCTTAAAATACCACTTCTAAAGGTTTTTTTTTTACTACTAATAGATTTAAAACATCCTCTGAACATAAATGTATCAACTTTTGTACAGAATGCTAAAACAGTAGGTGTTAAATAAATGCTACCTAAGATCTTTTATTCCTTTTACCCATTATCATGATATCCATCTTCTGAATTTCTCAAAATTTTCTTTTTGAACTAAAAATTCTGCTTCGCTTCTTATTTATAATGTTTCTGCTCATCCCAGGCATATAGTAAGTGTCTATATTACTTCTGTCATTTTACAAATAAGAAATAAACTTAGACAATTTAAGTAATTTATTATGATTATTAATTTAGTCAACTTTCATTTATTGAATGGCTCTCAGGTTATTTTAGTTTATATAGACAAATAAGCTATATAACTTGAAAATTTATTTTTAAAATTGCCTAAGTATACTTCAAAAACATTTCAACAACATGCCATTTCATTTCATTTTGAGAAATACTTAAGTATTTATTTAACAACAGTTTACAACATCATAGAAAAAATATTAATGTATATATAATCACACCAACATACATGTATGTACATTTACAGTGTCCAGAGTACTATAACCAATTCAAATCTCAGGTATCTTCTATAATGTCAATGAGTTTATGTGATTAAAATGCTAAATAAAGAAAATTTACATAATTTTAATACCAACTACACAAGACACAATATATGACCATACCTTGTATAAATATTTTAAGCATCACAAAATAAGTACTACAAAAACTCAAGAACTTGTTTAAATTTATTCTTATTGAAATCCTTAGCTTAAATATATTCACATGGAAGCAGTCTCTAAGCTCCCAAGAAAGATGGTACCCACACTCTTTATAATCTCTCACAATATCCCATTCTTTACAACACTTCTTGCCATCTATAAATATAGACCACCATGATTATTTGATTAATGCCAAGCTCTCCTACCAGGCTGTACACCCAACAAAAGATCATGGCACCATTCATAAGGGATGAAAAGTTGGAAAAATACTAATGTCTATCATTATGACTGAATAAATAAAATATATGATACATTGACATAATGGAACATTGTAAGACAGTAAGATGTAAAAATAAAAATGAAGTATGCATATACTTCATTCACTGTGGACGAACTTTGAAAATAATACAGCATGGGCTGGGGACATAGCCCAGTGACAAAAGTGTGTACCTTGCATATTCAAGGCTCTGGATTCAATACCCAGCAATTTAAAAAAAAATCCACAATATGGCAACTGAAAGCCATATGATTCCATTTATATGAGATATCTAAACTAGGTAAATCAATAGAAACAGAAGTAAATTAATGGCTTCCAAAGGCCAGTGTATTAAAAGCTGATAAGGAAGCATGACTGTTAACCAGAATGGAGTTTCTTTCGGAGGTAATGAAAATGTTCTATAGTTGTGACAGTAATGGTAAAAGTCACAAAACTGTACTTAAAAGGATGAGTTTCATGGTAGGTATATATTTCAATATTTTTTTTCTTTTTGGTACCAGGCATCGAACTCTTGACCTCAAGCATTGCCAGGCAGGTCCTTAAGCCACTGAGCTAAATCCCCAGCCTCGATATGTTTTTCAAAAAGGAAGAAAGCTTAAATATATTTTATGCTAAAAAGCAAGGAAATGCTCCAAGAATAAATATAAACATACGAAAAATAAAAATGAAAAAAAACACCAGTTTAAAAGGGCCCCCATAGGCCAAATCAGGGACAGTTTGAACATCAAAACAAAACACAGACTGAGCATGGTGGCACACACACCTGCAATCCAGCACTAGGCAGCTGAGGTAAGAGGTCTGCTATGAATTTGAAGCCAGCCTAGGCTACATAGTGAGTGTAAGAACAGTCAAAACTACATCGCCATATTCTGTCCTCATATTCAAACATACACGCACAGACACATATAAGCAAGCACCAAATAACGTATTGAATAAAAAAGAGAACTAGAAACCAGGCACAGTAGAACATACCTCTAATCCAAACTATTCAGGAGACTGAGGCAGAAAGATAACACATTGAGACCAACCAGGAAAATTTAGCAAGATCCAGTCCCAAAATAAAATAAAAAGGGCTATGAACGTAGCTTGATGCTCCTTAAATTCAATCCCCAGTACCAGAGAAAAACAAAGTAAAGCAAAACAAACAACCATGAATCATAAGTGAATAGCAAGTGTATTAAGAAAAGATAAAATCTACAGTTTTCAAATTTTTTTTCAAGCTGGGTGTAGTGGCGCACACCTGTAATTTCAGCACTGGGGAGGCTGAGGCAGAAAGATCATTGCACAGCCTAGGCTACAAAGTCAGCTGAAGGCCAGCCTGAACTGCATAACAACACCCTGTTTCAACAAGAAAGGAAGTATGTATTTCCACAAAAATACTAATTACAAAGGGAAAAAAGGGTAACTTCAGAGGAAAACCCTGATAGGTACTACCATGAACAAGTGATCAAAGTGAGCAACATGATGAAAATGCATGCTCTACAATAGTTTGCAACAAAACACTTTATCACTTCTGGGATGTTTCCACCCAAAATACATAACCTGAATCTAGTCACCAGGAAACATTAGACACAACCAAATTAAGGACATTTTAAAAAATAATTGGCCTATAATCTTCACAACCATGGATTACTACAGGTCTGCAGTTGTCAGGAACAAGAATGCACAGCAGAAGATTAGCAAGCAAAGAGCTAGTGAGCAAAACTTAATCGGTATTTAGAGCCACTCCCCATTTCTCACATTCCGGTCAGATCAGCAAAGACATTCTGACAAGAGACTGAATCCTACTGTGAACTATGGTTGTGAGGAATCTTGGTTGCTCAGTCTTTATGAGACTCTAATGTCTGAACTGAGGTAGAGCTGTAGGGATGCAATTATAGAAACGTAATTATTATGTAAAAAAATACATAGCAATAAAAAAGAAACTAAGAACAATGGCTCCCATCCATGTCTTTCATAAAACTAGTCTCAGTGTCAAAAAGGTTAGGGATCACTACTCAAAAGTACCAAGATATCCAAGCATAGTAGCACA